CACACACACACACACACACACACACACACACACACACACACACACACACACACACACACACACACACACACACACACACACACACACACACACACACACACACACACACACGTTACAAGCAGTCCAATGTTTATGGGTGCTCTATGATTAGTATGACTAATTGATCAGACAACGACTGGATTAGATATACTGCACGTATTGTGGGTTAGCTGGATTCATTGTCGTCACCTCTATCAGCGCTGGCGCCCCCTGCTGGCTGAGTGACGTTCGCTTTGGCATTCTTGCCTCTTGGAGTTCGTAGTACCCAGACTGCCAAGGTAGACTGTTGTATCTGTCAGGTTGGGTGTTGGTCTGCGTGTGACTGAACTCGTACTGCTGCTGTGGGTTGGTTCTGTCAGGCTGGGTGTGAGTGTCCCTGTGACCGTACTCACACTGCTGCTGTGGGTTGGTTCTGTCAGGCTGGGTGTGAGTGTCCCTGTGACCGAACTCACACTGCTGCTGAGGTTGGTAGGCTCTGTCATGTTGTGTAAAGATCTCTTTGGGATCGGTGTCATACTGCTGCGGTGGTTGATAGCGTCTGGCAGGTTGTGTGATGATCTCTTTGGGATCGGTGTCATACTGCTGCTGTGGTTGGTAGCTTCTGTCCGGTTTGGTGTGTTCCATACCAATAACTGACTCGTGCCGCAGCGGTTGTCCTGTGTCCGCCCTGTCACGATTACGATAGGACCCGTGCATCTTTCGCTTGTTGTGGTGATTATCAACTGTGGCGCCCTCTTCTGGAGGTGTCTGACAGTCAATGCGCTCGCACATGTGGCGAAAGCATGCCGGGATTCTGGGAACGAAGAGAGTAACCAGTTTCTTAATGAGAACCCCGCACACGGCAAGTATGAGTAGCATGATTAGGGAATCAGGACTCAAACGAACGGGTGTGTTCGCTTCATGTATAGCAAGCTTATTCCGACTGTCTTCTGTTGCCGTTCCGTCTTTCCCGTTGATGGAGTCTGCGTTGGCAGATTTTTTCACGAGTTTTCGTAATATTTTAATGAAGTAGTGCTTGTCGCCAAAGTGTGTGCTGTCAGTAACAGTGGCCGGTTCTGATACTGTCGCAGTCGCAGTGTTTCTGAAGTATAGAGTATCGGATATTTTCACTACCGGTAGGTCATCGTGGATAAATACACGGCAATGAAGTTCTTTGTTGTTATCATTCGATGAAAACGTGCGACTCAGGAGACTTTTTGTTGTGAACGTCTTGTTTCTTGAACCCGCCTCCTCTGCTTGGTTGGAGTCGGCAGTGATATCTTCACCATTCAGGCGCCAGGTGATGCTAGCTGCTGGATTACTGCTGTCTGATACACAAGAGAATTGTAGCCTTCCGTGCGGTGATAGGGAGCTGTCTATAAGAGACATGGCAACTGACTGCGGTGCCACGAGTACCGTTAGTTTAGCCGTGTCTGATCGAGGTCTATCAGCTGGCATTACCTGATCCCGCTGCCACTCACAGAAGAACTCTGCATCGCCATCATCGAGCTGTAGGTCGGCTATCAGAATGCTGTAGTCGCCTGTAGCGTGCCTGTTGTCGTCAATGTAAGCGTACCTGTGTTCATCACTGAGATGTAGTGGGTCACCGTTACGATACCACTGAGCAATGGGTGGACTATGTGCATCACTATCATAGCCTAGGTCGAGCTTACAGTGCATGGTGACGTCGGTACCTATAGCTGCTGCTCTGTCACGTGGTTGCTGCAGGAACTGCGCCGCCGTCCGCATGATCGCTGCGGACAGCACAATCGCCGTGACCAGCTTCATTGCAGCCATTGTTCTTAGATTCTTGTGAGACTACCGTTGATGTAACAACTGTTCTCGGTGTCGTAGGTTTGGTGTCGGTGAGATATAGGATTGTAGCGATCACTACAGTCCAGATGATGACAATAGTATGCACGTCTCTCACAGAAGTAACACGGACGAATTCTCAACCATCACAATGTCGGTAAGCAATAGCGCGTTCAAGTTCTCAATGTAGGATAATCAAGCAAAAGTTTACTAAGCAATGTATCTGCTGATCACTGATATCTTCTCTGCACACGTCTAACGTAGGTTTTCCACATCCATCGTCTTTGCTCGTTAGCACCTCGTTTCCACATCCATCGTCTTTGCTCGTTTTCACCTGCCTTTTAAGCAGATTCCCTCGGTGATTTCCCTGAAGGGAAATCACCGAGGGAATGAATTATTTCCCCTCAGCACATGAGATCCACACATGATGCCCGATAGACACACAGATGCTGATGAAACACTGCTACACTGCGATTATAGATGCTTTGTGTAGCGTCTTACATGTGCTGCCATGGCGTGTACATTGTTTACTATAGATTAGTATATCACATCATGTGATACTATAATCATGTGATGCACATCCAGTCATGCTATGCAAATAAAGACGTATCCAGGGTTGTCCAAGCTTTTTAGCTCATCACCTTGACATCGTCAAGCTGAGCTATTGCCATGGGTCGTCGTCCGTCGTACGTCCGTCCGTCCGTCCGTCCGTCAACATTTCGCTTCGGTCAACGATAACTCAGGAACCGTTTGGCCCACATGTTTGAAATTGGGTATAGTTGTTACTGCTATGCTCCCATATTAAACGTAGAGGTTTTGATATTTAAAAAAAAATTATGCAAATTAGGTATGGTTTGGCAATTATATAGCATATTATATAGACACAAACAGTGTGGTGTCCCACTCGTCTGGTTCGTTTTACAAGATTTTATTGACAATATCTTTAATGCAAAATTGGTATTTCCTCTCCACCCTGCCGATAAAACGTCTATATTAGAGTAAAGATTTACAAAACATGTCGGAACGCAGCATAACCTATTTATTTCAAACGCCATCACTACAAAGCTGGTATAGCGCCATCTACGGTCACAAATTGTGATTCATAATAGGCGTTTTTAGGCGTTTTTATCTAAGCGAAACCGGTAAATCGGTTTCCTAAATCACGTGATCAGTGCATGGTTTGGTGAAAGCGCTTTTGTTACATAAAAACAACGCAAGCTGGCAGACCATTTGGTTAGGATTTAGCTGATCTTTGTACGTTTTTATAACACATTAACTTATTATTCTTATATAATCATTTATTAAGAAAACTACTTAATAACTTACGTTTGACTATCCGCCATATTTATTATATTATTATTTTGAATTTTTCGATGGCCTTTGCCATGCAAAACAAACATTTTCACCCCACATGCAGTGCTTCAAATTTACACACAGAGTGTCCCAGATTGCATCTCAGAGCTTCTACCCGGACCCCCCTAGCACTGAGCAGCACCTCCATGCTATAATGAATGAAAGTGTCAATGACACTGTAGCTCACCACAAAAAAGGACTCTGTGTCGTAAATTTGAAGCACTGCATGTGGGTGAAAATGTTTGTTTGCATGGAAAGGCGTTTTTTCGAAGCGAAAGCGCTTTTACGGTTTTGCAAATCTTCGCATTTTATCCTAGACGGTTTCGCGAAAGCGCTTTGTAACGTTTCTCGTTTTATCTTAAGACGGTTTGCGCAAGTCGCTTTTGGCGACCGTGCGAAATCGGCGCCAGCGAGCGATTTCAGACGGTTCGAACATTCAATATTGGCGATAGTCAAAGCGTAAGTTATTAAGTAGTTTGCTAATAATGATTATATAAGAATAATCAGTTAATGTGTTATAACATACGTAGCAAAGATCAGCTAATGCCTAATCGAACTTGGTGATTCTATCTTGCGTTGTTTTTATGTAAAGGTAACAAAGCGCTTTTCTATCAAACCGCTGATACGTCGATTTAGGACACGGCCGATTTACCGGTTTCGCTTCGATAGACACGCCTTTTGTTATAATAATTAATTCGCGCATATACAGATGGGGCAATGCGTTTGCTATAATGTAGTCGTCGTAACTACGTTCTACTACTTAGCCATCTATTCTATAGTAGGTACGTCGCTGTTGCTCAATTAAAACTGGACTTCTTCTTACTCCCTCTTTGTGTCCTTTTTTGTGGTCGAGCTACAGTGTGCGTTGACCTACTGTTCATTCATTATAGCATGGGGGTGCTGCTCAGTGGAGGGGTCCGGGTAGAAGTTGAGTATGGGCAATCTGGACAGTGCTAGTGTGTAAAGTTGAAGCACTGCATGTGGGGTGAAAATGTTGTTTTGGCATGGGCAAAGCCATCGGAAAATTCAAAATAATAATATAATTAATAATAAAATAAATTCAAAATAATTGTCAGTTCAGATGCAAAATATTGAAAGTAAAAGGTTATGCACCATAGATTAATTGGGTACTATAACACGCGTATATAAGATAGCCGAGTCGGTTTCGAGTTAGTGTTAGGGTTAGGGTTAGGGTTGCATGGGTTGGGTTTGGGTTAGGGATAGGGATATGGTGACTGTTTGTACGTGTGTGTGGGACTGCCGTACCCGTAGCCTCTGCGTATAAACAACGTGTTGAACTTCTTGTGTATACACCAGCATGGCGGCTATGATATTTAGAGTGGCGGGTGCATTTTAGGATGGCGGGCCTCGACGATCCCGCCATGCTATAAGTGCTCTTGGAGAACCCTGCTATCTATATTGACTTTCCTATCACTTTCCTATTGGCTACCAACGGCAACGCACATGATATGATGAGCGTAAACGTATTACTCATGTACGATCACTGAGGGCAGCAGCATGAGGATTGAGGAAAAGGTAAAAAACCGACCGTGCACAAGACGTCTGCGTGTGACCAAGGTGTTCGCAACTAGAGACACCACGTGGGTCAGGTGATGCACATGTACAAAGGCAATATTTCCCTTGTCGCATATTTTCACCGCAGCGGTTCCCAAATGGGGGAATTCTGGCTTAAAGTGATTACGTCACCGTAAATAGTAAAACATAAAATTAATATTCTTTTTCACAAAATATAAGTAATTCTGTTCACTTTTTATGGTTAAATTGCTGCATTATACTTCTTATTTTACTATATTGTTCGATGTGAACATACACTCGTGACGCATACATAGCCCATAGCAAGCAATTAATGTAAGGAACACTAATATCAAATCGTCCAGGTTTTTTGGATTTTTAACTAGTTGAGAAACAATCTTATCAGGTAAGAATTTTACGATACGTTTAGTCCCGTTAGTTCTTACTTTTAATGTAAAAAAATGGCAACAAACATTTTACAAATTTTACCATAGAAAATTCGTGACGTAGTCAATTTAATTGTAAATATTGCTGATGAAAGTCCATATGCGCTTGCTCAGTATGAGAAGCGTCATTGACATTGATACACACAAACTGATAAAAACCTACTGTAAATTGTGGTTTGCAGATGTTAGAAATAGTAGTTTGGTGTTTAGAAATGTCGCGACGGTGGTTGCATATAATGGGTTAGTCGGCGGCAGCGCGTTTGATGTAGTATGGATGATGGAGACGAGAAACGGTTGAGAGTCAGTTGTTGTGCATGTGGGCAGCGGGTGTGGTTGTCTGCGCGCGCGACTGATTTCTTTGTTAGATAGAAATGTATAAATGGAAGGTTCTTGGTTGAAAGGGGAAGAACGGACGAGAGTGTGCGGGTCACGCGGATGCGTGCCTCTGTGCGCACGCACGGGGGTGCTTTGAGAAACAAGAATACTATTTGCTAAACACAACTGCTTGGACTTTGGAGTTTTCTTTCATCTCTACAACAAATCTACTTTGAAACGGGTAACGTCACATCTTCGTTACATTTTTGATGCCGTCGACAGTTCGAACCGGGTTTGCTGACATAACGCAGAATGCTACCACTACAAACGATTCACGAGCCACGGAGCCACAGAAGATACTACGCAAGGAAGATAGAGACGGAAGAATTAAGACACAGGAGGAGTCGCTGGGTACACCGCTGGCAAGAAGACTGGAGAGAGAGAAACGGAGAGCGGACGAGAGAGCAAGAGAGAGAGAGAAAGAGGGAGAGACGGAAAGAAAGAAGGCAGCATAGCATAACGTCTATATAGAACTGACACACGCACACGCATAATAATAATAATAATAATAATAATAATAATAATAAT